GGCTGTGTTCTGGTTTAATTAAAGAAACATTGAATTCTACTCTCTGCAGAAAATCCAAAGAGAAGGTCCTTATATCAGTGTGAGGGTTTTAGCTCCAAAATATTTGGGCTATGCAGCAGGATAATGATTCAAAGCACACCAGCAAGTCCACCTCCAGAGGTCTAAAAAAAAACAAGACAATCTTTTGAAGCAACTTAGTCAATCAAAAAAACACACACAAAAAAAAAAAACTTAAACACAGCAGATTATCAGTAGGATTGGTTTGCACAGAAAGACTTGTTAAGGTAAATATTTGATGCAGCTGCTTCCACCAATGGTTGGGAAAACTGTTTATTTGATTCAAGGAACATTAATTAAGAGCCAGTTTGGTTCTGTTTATTTATATAGCACTAGATGTGTTATGTTATATCTATTCTACTTCTATTTTTAACTTCATGTTGTGGATACCAGACCTGTAAAAAGTATTGAACAGTTCATTCAGGACTTCTTTTCAGACCATTCTAAATCATTCTTTCTGAGTTTTAATTTAGGAAAAAACTTGGACTGTCATTATTTTTTATGGCCTCTCTACAGAGATGGGAAGTAACGAAGTACAAATACTTCGTTACTGTACTCAAGTAGATTTTTCTGATATTTTTACTTTACTTAACTACTTATTTTTATGGCGACTTTTTACTTCTACTCCTTACATTTTTACACAAATATCTGTACTTTCTACTCCTTACATTTTAAAAAATTGGCTCGTTACTTTAGTTTTGAATCATTTCAATGGAGTTACCGTTATTATTTTTCACGTCATCAATACCAAATTCAATCTAATTGGATGGAAATCTACGTTGCATTTGACGCACCACTACAAGATGAATCGACAGATTCGGCAGTATTCATTCGCGGCAAATCATTGCAGCTTGATGGCGGCGGCGTTAGCATAGTAGTATGGACGACGAGATGATTGAAAATGAACACAACGGAGATCTAGTCCTATTGGCAGACATCCATTTAAAATGTAGGCAACAGCATGAAAAAAGTGGTTTCTACTTTTACTTTTATACTTTAAGTAAATTTACAAGCCTGTACTTTGTTACTTTTACTTGAGTAAAGAAGTTTAATCAGTACTTCCACTTTTACCAGAGTATTTTTTAACACAAGTATCTGTACTTTTACTCAAGTACGGAAAGTGAGTACTTTTGCCATCTCTGCCTCTCTACAAATGCATTGAGGGAAACGCAAAAGGGAAAAATGAACCTCTTGTTTGTTCATCGAACTGTTTTTACAGGAATTTAGTTAGTCACAACGCATTTAATCATAAGTCACTTTATGGAGACACTTCAACCAAATCATACAGACAGGTTTGGTTTAGCTTAATAAATTATGTCATAAGTAACAAACTGCTTTTATATTTATTCAGGGTGATTAAATTAACATTTATAATTAATAATTGTCTTAAAAAAGATATGATAAAAACAGAGCAAGATGGACAAATGTCCAATGTACGTTGTGTAAAAATATTAGTGAGAAGATGAATAAATGGTTTGAATAAGTTTTCTGACTTATCAACACTAATTGTTCCAGTCATTAGAGAATAATCCCTGTTTTCAACGTGGTTTCACAATCTTTTCTTTTGGGAAGGGATTCAATAATGAAGCCATGGAGTTTGGCTTGCATTAAACTGGGTCAGTTTTAAGTATACTGCTAATGTTCAAATTTAAAGAAAATGTTAGTGCTCATTTACATAGCTGAATATTGTAGAGGACATGGGCCACTGACTTAGGTGCAGTGTTTATGAACTCGTGTTATAAAGGTTAAGCCTCTTTAAAACACATATTCAAGCATATTCAGAAAAATGTATCTGCTCTTGTACAATGTACAACATTAGATGAAACATAACCTTACTTATAAAACACATTACATGTTCAATTGGTTTATGTTTTATGCAAAAAGCGTGGTCAAAAATCAACCACATTTTTCAGTTTTCATTGAAGGGTAAGTAACACCCTGTCAAGCTAATTAAAGGCACTTAATGAAGCAATCATTAGTCAGCTCAAGTACCTCCACAAAAGCTTTTTGGCAGTTTGCTATTGAATATAACACAAAGTCAAAGATGGAACATGTCACCAGTGGTCTAAATAGGGAAAAACCTGTTGCTTCTCATGAATCTGAGTGATTTTGAGGGCATTTCCTCTCAATATTCATAAGCTGGAAACATCCAAGAGAGCTGTAAATCTTCACATGAGTTGACATCCCACCAAGTTTACGCTAAATTGGGACTGGCAAGCTAAATGTCTGGCAGCCTCTGTTTGAAGGTCAAATGTTACAAATCATTAAAGTGCGTCTAAAAAAGGACCGGAAAGGAAGAATATGGAACAGCTCTTCCTTTAGAAAGAACATGGCAGCAAAGATGGATTTAAACAAAGTCTAATATTTCAAGAAAAAATGTCCTGATGAGAGACAGAGCAATCATTAGGGCATATCATCCTTGCACTGGTCTCACCATGTTGCCCATAATCAAACAGTCTGAATCCCTAAAGTCTCTTCAAATGTAAGTATGCTATTCAAAATTTGAGGCCATCTTCCCGACAGCTAAGACTTGGCAGAAATTAGGTCATGCAAGAGGATAGTTAACCCAAACCGGCCTGCAGATCTACCGCTTAAAAAAAAAGAAACTATAGATGTTCTGTAGATGACCTGCTCAAAGGCTCGACCTCAACCTGATTAAAATGCTGTAGTAAGACCATTAGAGAGAGGATAGAAAACAGATGTCTGCAACACTCTGAAATACACCAGGGTAGAATTGGACAAAACACATGAGAGTCTAATTAGGTCATGCTAATGAAGTATTCTTCAACCTATCTGAGCTAAAAAGAGGTAGATAAAATATTTAAAATGAAGTGCAAATAGTTGTTTAACCCCCTGCATCTGGAGTTTAGTTAAACTTTTGTTAAATAAATTAACAAAAAGTGATTTACTGATCAAAACCTCATAATATTACTACTTTATCATTTTATAGCAGGTGTATTTTCTTTCTGTTATGATTGTTAATATATTTGTCCATCTGTTTTCATGCGAAAATTATAACAGTTTGTCTCATTTGTTTCTTTTATTGCTTTGACAGCAGTTTTGGGGAAAGTCTATGAGTGTTTGAGAAACTTTGTATTAGAGCGTATTAATAAAAGAATATTAAGAATAATCGCTGGTCATGCTTAGGGGATTTTTCTGAAGATGTTCTGAAGGTGTAAAATATTTAGTGCTAATGAGGATATAGTAAGCTGACACACCCTAATTGCTTGTGTGCTTGTTATGTGCCAGGGTGATAAAAAAGGTAATAACCACCCAAAGTTATAATTAATTTTCTGCAGCTCTATTTTGAATTTAACCTTAATATCCCTGCCTTACAATAGGAGCTGGATTTGAGGAAGTTATCTTTACAAGCAGAGGTTATGTTTAATTCAGTGGGCATTCCAGCCGGTCCAAACTGTATTTCACTGTTCATTGACGTACCATGGGATACAGGGTGCTGAAGTTAGGTCTGAGTCAGCATGCTTATGAGGTGCACAGCATGCATAGGCAGATTTGACCGGTCAGTAGGGAGGAAGATTGTGCTCTACAAAGATCTGTGTGCTAAGCATACACTTTAAAGTGATCATAGGTATGTAATTGGTGAAAAAATCAGACATCTTCTTGCTCCTGAAGCGAAAGGCTGAGCAGCACTTTGCTTCTCAGTAATAAACCTGAGTGAATTCTGCCAAGATTAGCTATCATAGTGTTTTCAGAGCATCTCATATATGTTTGTATAGGTACACACGGACCTAAGGGAATAATTATTCTGCTGTGTTCGGCTTTCTAAAGCATCAGTCAAGGTTAATTAATCATATTGTGTGGTGTGATCCCTCATGTAATCTTTTAATAACTGCACTGTGAGAGCAGATTACAGATTTCTCAATGCAACACCGTTTGGGCGCATTCGCAAAGGTACTGCAGAGCAGCACTCTCCAGGGTAAGAATAAAAAAATATGATCAGCTAGATCAGTTAGGGAAGGCTCATTAAACCATATGTATTGCAGCTTTCCTTTACTCACATTTTCAGTATCTGAATTATGTTCGGCTCTAACTAAAGTTTATTTGTTAGCTGAAGGATCAATAATTAATTCGACAATGATAAAAAAAATAATATATATATATATATATATATATATATATATATATATATATATATTGTGCAACACTTTGCCATGCTGGTTGCTAAATATGTAGGTTTTGCATGTGCAATCCTGACCTATCCATGCATCATGCGAGCCATGATCATGTCCTTTCCCTGACTCTCCCTGAGAGACGAGGCTTGAAGGCATTGACCATTCAATCACCCTCTTTTCACCAGTGCCACAGTAACACCTTCCTGCACAAATATACCAGACATGAGCAACAAAGCCTGCAACCCCTGCCTCGTTCACTTCCTGGCATTCAGGCTATCTAAAAGTAAAAAAGGGGGCTTTTTCAAGGTCACTGCACATTTAGGGAAGCTTAAAATAGAGTCAGACATTGACAAACCAGGGCTCACAGTAACTGTCAGCAGATCCCAGGAGATAGAGAGGAGATGTATTAAGTTCAGCATGAGCCCTTATGTGTTTGTGTATGACTGTAATTACTACCATACATCAAGCCACAGGAGCAACCAGCCTGTGACATAGAGCATTTAACACTTGAATCACCTAGTGATGTGCAGAGCACTTACAGTCTATTTACTGGTTAAGCCCTAGCACTTTTACAGTATGAGAATACAGAGACCAACCAAAACACACGCCCTGATTACACAAAGGGAAAGCACATTAGTAAATAAACTACACTTATTATTTTTTCCTCCAAATAAGGTATGTTGATGTGCTTTCACAGGGGCTGATGCTAGAAATATAGGATCAGCGTGAGATTCTTCTGCAAACTGCAATAAAATCACAGTGTCATTTACATAACTCAAAGCAACAAAAGGCATATAAGTGTTCACCATGTTTACATCTGATGACTCTTTATTGCCACCTTGTGGTAAAACTTTAAAAAGCACAATTTTACACAAAACAATAAAAAGTAATTGTGATTAAGCTAAATTAAAAGGCCAGAAGGGGATTACAGTAATAAAGACAATTAGGGATACAACAAAATTGATTTAGATACATGAAGGAAAACGGTAAAGTAAACATGCAGTTACAAAATTTCATTGTTAGAAAATATATGTGCTAACCAAAAAACTGTTATTAAGAATAGAAGCAAAGTATACATTTTCTGTATGAATCAGCTGGGATAGATGTAACAATAGATTTTGAGTAAAAAAACAACAAGCACTGCAAATATTTACAATAATGAGACTACACAGGCTTATTGCTGTAATAAAGAATGCAAGTTTAACTTTGTGTAGTCTCATTTTAAATAGCTCATACCTCAGGCAGATTTAGATTTAAAATCGTTTAATTTTTTTATTCACTGGCAAAGGCATATGTAAAAAATATAATACAACTATTTAAACAGATAATCAGTCTAAACTTGTTTTTATTTGTGTTTTGGTAAAATAAGGCTTGTAAAATCTATTGATCTCCTTCACGGAAATAATAGAAAATGCATTCTTGTAATTGCTAACCCTTTTGTTGCATGTTTCAACTTGTATTTTTAAAAATGTTTCTTCATATTCTGAGTCTTCTTTGCCGGCTAATCTTAACCTGCCTCCATAAAAAAATCTGTTGGGAATCAGTTTGGGAATCTGGATGGCTGCTTTAAAAACTACTTCCAGTGAAAGAAACAGTTCAAATTAAAAAGATTATCTAAATCTGCCAGGAGAATGAGTGATGTTTGAACAATATGACATAATGAAAGAAATGTATTAAAACTGTACATATATAAATAACGATATGCTTATATCATATACATTACAGTTCATATTATTATTATTATTATTATTATTAAATATTATTATTATTATTATTATTATTATTACTATTATTATATATATACTATGTTTTATAATATCTTATTATAATATCATGTTTATCCATTATATTTCGTTTGCAGGGGATGTTGACTCCACGTCAATAAACTGCAAAAAAAAAAGGGAAGACAATGGTTTAATAAGATATTAACTACAAGTAATAAACAAAACTGCCTTTAATGTGAATTAAATTCCCCAACTCACTAGTGCATCAGAGCCCCTGTTGACTCTGTCCTGGTTAGAGCTAAGCTTGTTCACCAAAGCAACAGCTTCACCTTCCATCTCCAAACCTCCATCAGCAGCTCTAAAAGCAAACACAAAATGGAAGCGAGTAAGGAGAGACAGCATAGAAACAGCAACGTGTGGTATTTAGTAATTTTCTAAGCAGAGATAAAGAGCTCAGAAGTTGTAACTAATCTGTAGGCTACTGGCTGGGTGGAGAGAATCACTTAAGTTTCCCCCCTTGGACGTTTGAAGAGCAGCAGGGACAAATGGGAGAAAAAAACATGTGAGGCAGATTGAAAACTGCTACTTTCTTAGTTTTCTCTTTGGTACCACATTTGAAGATGCAGCAACACGGCAAGTGGCAGCCTTACCGCTGATCTGGGAGCAGTGATTTTTCCTCAGCCTGAAGATGTGCAGCAGTCCCTCCATTCTCCAGCTGCTCCGTCCTGGAGAGTTAGTCAGCGATTAAAATTTATCAGACAGAAACAGCAATATAGCAAGGTGAGAACAATAGGCCATTTTATTAGCTCATATCGAAATTCATGTTTATCTTGCTTTGTTTTTCAGTTTCATGCTTTGTTACATGCGGTAATTTTAAAACCTACTTTTTCATTTCTCTTCCCTTAGTTCCATTATTTCCTCCTGGATCATCCCTCATGTTGCTGAAGCTGAAATAAACAACAATTATTTTTAGACAACACTGCAGGGTCATATTTAAATATTAGAATTTATAATAAACATATTATGGTAATTAATGTGCACCCGTTCACTGGTTTGTGATCAAATGGAGCGTTGGTTTTAGGAGCAGCCGTGTCTCCACTGCAAAACAGATATTAAAAATAAATTAGGTAATGAGTGTACAGCTATTTCAAAACTTGCCAAGGGAAGGTGGCAGTCAAACTTGTGAAAGAATACAAATGTTAATAAGTTCAATAATCACATCTAAGTGAGGTGAACATTGTCAGGAAATTGGGTCTGAGGAGCTTTGACACAAGTTGAGGATTCAATAGCTTTTAGCTTATTAAGCTCTAGACGCCCTAATGTTGATAAGTTCAAAAAGGCACACTTTGTCAGTCCTGTGGAAATGAAAATGTCTAACTGTTAAAGCAACATTCTAACCTGTTAACACTTTGAAGTGTGTATTGGTCACTTTCACCACTTCCATGTGGATCTCTTCCGTTCCTGAAATGTCCAGAATAAACTTAGTTTTTAGCTTCATCAATGTCTTCAGAGAGCAGTTGTCAGCATTAATTTACCTGATGACACCGTTGTCCTGTCTCTCTAAATCGCTTGTTTCAACCGTTTGGAATCCACTTCCCCTTTGGTTTCTTGAGGGTAAAATATGCAAATTAAAAAGCATAAACATGATAGCTCAAGACGGTGCAGGTTAATAAAAAAAAATATTTGAAACATCACCAACTTTAGAGTCAGAATCTCCCTCTCTAAACTCATTCCGACTTATTCATTGTAGCGTATTTCTTAATTTAAATGGAATTAGGAAAACTTGTTAGGAATTAGACTCACCTACAGAAGCTGGGAGGAACCAATCTTTTGAAACAGGAAAACCTCACAGTATACATAAGATATTCTTTATTTTGTTGACTCCTTCAAAAAAATAAAAAATAAAATACATTATTTAATCTGTAAATAGCTATTTTTTTTTCTTCAAACTAAGGTTTGACTGGTTTAATGATGGACGGGTTCAAATAAGAGTGCCTAAACTCCCAAGCCAACATTTATTTTTTCTTAATACACTTAATGCAGTGAGATCAACACTGCTGTTGCAGGTGGATATAGATGTATTATAGGCTGTTCTTTTTACATCAGATTGTCACTTTCTACATCTTGTGATTTATGGCCTCTAAGTTACTACAGGTGTCAAACATATAATGTAATGAGCAGGGAAATACATTAGGAAGTGAAAAGCTTAATCTGTAAATAAATCCTTAAGAGTAGGGTTCTTAGTTGATTTAATTATATTATTGATATGGAAAAAAATTAATATAATGGACTTACCCTTTTTCTTTTTTCCAGCAGCAGTAAGATGTAACAAGGTATCCAATAATAAGTACTACTACAGTAGAGATTACCAAATAGGCAATCACTGGGTGAGAGAAGATAAAGTAAATGTTCAGGAATAAAATGTTGAATTGCTCTTATAAACATGTGCTTTCACTCACCTTCAGGGCTCCAGTGATTTGAAGAAGGAGTCATACTCGTATTTGGTTGAATTAAGGTAATGTTCTCTGCAAGAAGTAAAGAAGTAGTATTTTCATAATAACACAGCTACACATAGCGTGATCATCTTTAATGGAATATTGTTGTATTTTTATTGGGTCTCACCACTAATGGTTGTGAACTTCTCACACTTCTCTTCAATGGAATTACTTCCCTATAAAAGAATAGAGTTCTATTTTAGAGACGTCAGGATAGTTACTCCTCATTTCTAAACACTTAAATGAAAAACGTACTTACAGTAGAGATTTCACATGTAATGGTGAGATCCTGGCAGTTTTCGGTGGTCACTGAATGGTTGTCCATTTTCTTTATATCTGGCCCATAATCAAAGGTTTGTTTGCTAAGATCAGCCAAAGCCAGTTGAGTCTGTTAAAAACAAACATGTTTACTTTCACTTTCTGTTTTTTCCGTTGTTGTTTTTATCAAAGACACAGAAAAAACTTAATGATATCCTTTAAAAACTGATTCCCTACAACAAAACCTGGACTACAAAGAAGCTTAATTCATATCAACATACCTTATTTAATCCTTCAACTAAAACTACACTTTCCCCAGGACAGTCATGGTTAAATCTAAATCCCTCGGGTGCACGTATGTCAGAGCAGGTTGCATTTTTCTTTTCACATTCTGTTAGAAACCACACAGATTGGAAATGATGATTAAAAACAATCATACAAGGATCAAGTTAAGATATGGCATGTATATGCGCAAGTAGCTCAACACAGGAAGTACTTCATGAAACAATCATTAAACATGTAAAATACAAGTCCTGTGATTTTATTACTTACTTAAGGCTCCAGTTTCGAGTCTGATACATCCCATTATAGGGATTATTACAAAAAATAGGCGCTTCATTTCAAAACAGCCAACACCAACGAAAGGCTCTACCCAAAAGGAGGAAAACCAGGAAATGGATGTAAAAAAAGAACAATCGAGAAAGAGCCTCTTCCTCGTTTGTCTTTTTTTTTGTAGACAAATCGCCTTGCAAAAGTACTGCTGCCACCTTAATAGAATACAGCCATTGGCCAATATTATAACTTTGCTCTGCTATTTTACACAAAAAAGAAAAGCAAAGGTCTACAGATTTGTTCTAGATTACAGTTTCTTTAGAAACCACACTTTAGATAATGTTATCTGTTGCTGAATGTTTTTCAGGTCCAAAACCTTAGAATATCAAGTCCCAAGAAAAAAAAGACACTCTAAGGTAAAATGTCCAGCAGAAAGGTTTCATATAGGTGAGGAGGTAGTGGGGCTTGTTCAGGAAGTAGCTCCTGATGCAAGATTCCCACCAACATCTCATCCGTCGCTCCCTGCATAATGTTGCTGAAACATGCAACATTATGCAGTGCTAAGATGTATGGGGGTGGGATGATGGACCTTGCGTTGAATTCTTCACCTCTTTGCTCTTTGCTGTACCCCATTTTTTTTAGACAACACAAAGAACCTTAGGCTTGGAGAACCTCTGCTGTGGACAAGAAGTTGGGTCCCCCTAGGAAATGGTTGTCTGTGGATGGCCTTCGAGAATCTCAGAGGAGAGGTTTTTTTTGTTATGTTTATGTGGGGCTTAACCCACAGTGCTACATGGTGTGTCTCTATAGATCTTTGGGATGTTGCAATTTACTTGTGAGTCTAAGCGACTGAGCTTGGCTCTAATTGGACTCCCTTCCTTTATGCCTCCTTGGAGTAAATGACTGGTTGGATGTCGCTGTTCCCTGGCTCTCCTGGTCATTATTTTTATAAAGGTGGTCTGATTTCTGGATTTAGAGTTTCTCCTCGTTGCTTCTGGATGTTCTTCCTGCCAACCCACCCCTATTTTGAGTGTATGACTGTTGTCTGGGTAATGCAACAGTCATAACTGTGTAGTGTCTCTTTAAGATAATCTGTTATTGCACGTACGGGAGACATGTGATGCAGAGCGATACAGGTACTCAGACCGACATCTTAATTCTCTATTTTTCTTAGTAATGTCACAGGTTGTTTGGACACTGCTCGTTTTTTTATGTTTGAGAATACAGCAGCCGTTCAGCCGGGCTTTGTAAGGTTGGTGAAGAATTTGTTTATTAAAGGCCAACACTGTTGAATTCCCAGTAGCAGTGTGCTTGTGAGTTGTTGACCTTCCTCTCCGTCTTTAAACGCAACCCTAAGTGTTACAGTAACTACGGCCATTAGGAACATAGGCTACCTCCCCTTCGCTGATCTGAGTAGATGAGCTTTGGGAAGGTGTCTTCCATTAACAATATTCTAATAACTTTTAAGCTCCAGATGATAAATGTAAACACATAATGCACCCATGCAGGTTCATATTTGATCAATATGGCCCAGCATATTTAATACCAGATAAAGTCTGAATTTAAAAACTCAATCACGCAACTTTGATTGAAATTAGAGTTTTCTTTTTTGGTAAAAACTTTCTACAGGCATAAAGGCAATCAGCTAATTTGGAATCACTGGAATACAAAGTAAGAAAAAGTGGTAAGGATGCAAAATGTTATAGACACTTAACTGCTGAGATTAAAACATTTGTAATTTCACCTCCTCAGTAATAACCTTGACTTTCAGTATTATAATACAACAAAATAGTCTGATTTAAAACTGGAAATGAATTGCTTTGCTTTCAGAAACACAAATTTTTAGGCAATGTTTAATGAAAAGAATTCTCAAATTTGTCTTTTTTTTTTGTTGGTGTGCGTCCTGTTTAGCGAATATAGCTCTGGGATTTGATCTTCCAAAGCTAGATGATAGCCCAACAGCTTTGCTTTCACAAGAAGGCCAGTATTACTCTTGCCATAAGGTTCTGCTTGATACCTGTATATTAAACTTTATTGAACATTATTTGAGGAGTAAAATCATATACCACAGACGTGAAGGGGGAGATGAGAGAGAAAGAGGGGATAAGAACTCAGTGGAAAGAGGGATAGAAAAGAGTGCCTGAAAAGAGAGAAAATAAAACAAAACAGTAAAAATAGACAACAAAGAAGATAAACAGTAACTCCTACAAGTCTGCTACCACACCTGTTAGAGATGAGAGGGAAAGAAAACAGTGAACATAACAGTGAAAAGAAGACAACAGACAACCAAAGTAAACGTAGAAAGAGTAGCGGGTATCCTTTCCATGTGTGTCGGAGTCAAATTCGTCTTTCAAGTTGAAGTCGCTGGATATTTGGGATCTTGGGATTTTTTTCTCATTTTAAGAAGAATTGAATATTAATGCAAACTATTTTTTATTTTTATTTGTTGCATTTTATGTTGTTGCATCTTTTTTAATGCAGACTATTTATCAACTTCGGTTGTTTCTGCAGGACAATTTTTTTAGCATTTTTCTATCAACAGTAGAGGGCTTCATTATAATCACTCTGGGATCCATAATTGGTCCCAAATTAGAGTAAACCTGCTCTAAACAAAGTGCCGCTAAAATATTATACAGCTATAAACAAAGTTACTGGACCAACATTGTTTTTTTTTTTGCTTTGCTTTTTTTTTTTCTTGTTAACTGTATTTCTCTAATAAAACACATTTATCTTTTTTATGCCAGGCATTGAGAAAAGGAAGAGTGTTTTCATATTTTTCCATGACTATATTTTCTTTATAGGTTATCATGTTATCAAAGCTACTAGGCTCACTTCATCATAACAAATAAAATAAAATATATAGTTTCTGTCAATTACAAAATACAGATGCTTCATTTCCCAGCTGTGTTTTTGCTGCACGTCGCTGAGTAGTGCCGTTCACAGAGTGTTTATCTGTTACTCCTTCCCGATGGAAAATCCTCACTAAGATACACACAAACACATGTGTTTTGAACTGAATTTAGTTTTCATACCACTGATGCTTTGATTGAAACCAGGCTGCATAATTTCTTATCTAATCCTCCTGCTGTTTTATACACTAGACACAAGGGGAGGCCCTTGTCATGTGGGTCAGAGACACAAACACAAGGTCAGAGACATAAAGTCCTGCTACTGCTTATTCACTTAGTATGGGTTTGTATTTTAGTGTCATGTTTTTTGATGAAATAGCAGGGCATCTATGAATCAATAAAGATTCATTGTATGGAATCACCAGAGAATAGCTTTTCCTTTTTCATCAATCCAATTCCCAGTTCTGTTTTACAGAAAGAGACACAAAACTGCGAGCGAACATAGCAAAGATAGAGGACAGGCTTCTACGGTCCAATACGCAGCGTTTAGATAGCATCTTCTCTGGTCCACCGAGAAAAGACAGAACATAGTCTGTGTAACTCAGTACGGGCCTCTTTGTGTCTCCTTCACAATGTCTGCTTTTTTTCCACCTCTCCGTTCCCCCACCTTTCTCTTTTGCCATCCTCTGTTTGTCTTGAATAATGTTATCCAGGTTATATCATAAACAGACCACCAAGTGCTACTGCCAAGTTTTCATCCCTAGTGGATAAACAAACAAAGTTATAAAGGTCAAAGATATTTACTCTCATTCATTTTTGATCATTTTATGGTCCTTTGGAGAGATAACTTATAAAGATGACCACACCGCAACAGTTGTGGATGTCAACGTGCAAGTTTTATTTCTAGTGCATTTTAAGTAAATCTGTGGGGTTAAAATATGTGCGAGGTGTAGTGGGGTCATCCATTGTACAGAAAATTTGCTTATTGATGTATTTGTTACCTACTTTTTGTTTTATTGATTTACTTAAATTGTATCTAATTATTTTATTGCTTATTTTTATTACCATTATTTTTAATTTAACTACTGCTGTCCCAGGAGTGCCTCAAAAAAGACGTTTTTAATTTCAATAGGACTTTCCTGGTTTCATTAAAGTTAAATAAATGCATTAAATAAAATAATATATGCCAAAAAGTAAAATTAATTAAGCTGACAAAGATTTGTCAAAGAAGGTTAGTGAATAAACAGCATTACATAGATCAAGAAACAATGAGGACCAGGGTTCTTCAATCGTTCTCCTCAGGACCATATGTCCCGTATGTTTAAGGAGTTTTTCTCTGCCTCGTCAAACATTACTTAAATGAAATGGTAATAAACAGATCACTGCAGGTTTCAATGGGCACTGATGTGGTTATGCATTCATTTGATTAAAGTCTGGTGAAGCAGAGAAGATTTAAAACATAGAAGAGAGAGGGCCCTGAAAACCAGGACCCTTAGTGAGGAAAATACAGTTGCAGAGGGGTTTAAAAGTGATTAAGCTTCTATTACAACATACCAAGTCTTCAATCTATTATCTTACATTGTTAGAAAGAGGATTGATCTAATTTCTGATTCAGACTCTGAAGAAGTGAGGCTGAATGAGGAGCTCTTCAGTTTGCGACACTGCTCCCAGGCGCCGCACAATGGCAGCCCACTGTGAATTTCGTTGCTTTGTACTTGTGACAATGTTATGACAATAAAGTTGAATTCTTCTTCTTCTTTTGAAACAGTTCTGGGGAAAAATGTTCTTCTGTAATTAAACTACAAATATGGCTGAATTGGGTGGAGTCAAATTAGGAGGGGTCTGAAGTGCCTAATTTACATTTAAAGGGACTGCACCAAAAAAAGAGTAGCTCCAAGATATACTTTAGGAAATTAGTGAACTGATCACCTGAGGAGCAACAATAAGGACAAAATTAGACCAAACTATTGCATTCTACTATATATAGATCATATTCATGTGATGTGTAAGAGTGGTCTAATCAAATTCCGGACATAGATTTGACCGGAAATCTGTGGCAATACATAAAAATTGGTACAATTCAATCAATGACAAAGCGGGAATATTTTACAAATAAAAATTGTCAAACACTGATATAAATAAACCCCAAACTACAAATAAATATAAATTAAATAATTTAAATACCTTTGTATAATTTTAGCTACTATCATAGATAGAAAACAGACATATATGGTGTTGCATCCTTTTTTTTATGGAGCCTAGGCGGAAGTTCAACTGAAGAAA